GACGAGAGGGCAATCTCCTACAGGGGCATTTGGTGGTGCCCGTGCACGGAGACAATTGCATCCTTTGGGTTCTCGAACAATTGAATTTTGTGCAAATTTCCATGATCATTCGAGCATGTTGCGGCCACCAAATATGCAGTCACCTCCGGAGTTAATAAGAATTCCAAGAAATACAAGAGGGACCTCACAGTGTTTGACACTGGCTCGGTCCCTAATTATACAAAAATGCCCTTTTCAGGGAACAAGAAATGGGTTAACAACTTAAAATTGTTCTGCAGCAATGGAGGTTGAAGCCTTGAAAGTTGGTGCTACCAATTCCCACAGGTGTCCCAACTTGTCTTGATTACTTACAACCCCGTCTGTCTGCATAAAAGTAGTGTTGGAACACACTGTGGTACCATACCCTCGTAAGCATTATTTGAACAGTATTGTACTGCAGAAAGTAGTGTGTTGTTATAAAAATGGCAAGAAAAAGTCAATTCACAATGGAAGAGAGACAGACCATCATAACATTAAAAATGTTTGTCTTTCCTACAGAGAAATTGCAAAGAAAGTCAAGGTGTCAGTGAGTACAGTCTCGGAATCCGGAGACAGAATCACAATCAGAATCAGAATCAGATTTATTGCCAGGTAGGTTTTTACACATAAGAGGAATTTGTCTTGGTGCAATGGTGCATATATAACAATATACAATCACACAAAAATATGTAAATCACACAAAAATCACTTTTAAAATATAAATAAATAAAGATAAGAAAGATAAGAAAACTGTACAGAAGACGGGAGTGCATTAATGTAATGCATATATACAGGGTGGGTTTAAGAGTCAGTGTCAGTGGGGGTTAATGAGTGCCTTGTTAATGAGGCCAGCTGCAGACTGGAAGAAACTGTTCTTGTGGCGTGAGGTTTTGGTCCTGATGCACTGCAGCCTCCTGGCAGAGGGAAGTGTTTCAAAGAGCTTGAGTCCGGGGTGGGAGGGGTCAGCCACAATATTGCCTGCACGCCTCAGGGTCCTGGAGGAGTTCAAGTCCTGGAGGCATGGCAGATTGCAGCCGATCACCTTCTCAGCAGATCGAATGATTTGCCCTTGTCCTTGGCAGTGGCAGCAACGTACCAGATGGTGATGGAAGAGGTGAGGATGGACTCAATGATGGCGGTGTAGAAGTGCACCATCATCTTTGGCAGGTTGAACTTCCTCAGCTGCCGCAGGACGTACATCCTCTGCTGGGCTTTCTTGGTGAGGGAGCTGATGTTTGTTTAAAGCTTTTTTTAATCAATTTTTTGTATGTCACATAACGAGCATGCGCACCTGGCCAATCCTAGCGCTTGAATGCTACGCAGGGCGTGTCTTGGCAAGAAAAGCAGTGCAAATCATAGTTCTGCTCCACAGAGGGGGCAGGTCCTCTTCCACAAAGGCCGCCATATTGAACCACCACACTGGCTCTAAATAGGGACTTAAGCATTTTCATGGCAACTGTAGATTCGCCTACATGCTTGGAAGGCTTTTGGTATTCAGTTGGTTGCAATCTGTAATTTAACCACTAAATGCCATTAATGCCATTACACACTGGTCCTTCAATGTAACAATACAAGTGAAAGGGTTAATTCAAGTAGCATGATGACTACTTTTTGAATAAAATTTAGTAATAGAGCATTTTAAATTGCCCCCCCCCCCCCCAAAGATTTATATGTAGTTGACATATTGTTAGAACTGTCTTAAAATAAAAAGTGTTCACTGACAGAGTAAGAAAATATTTGCAATCAGCAGCTTTCCTGCCAAACCTGACCCAGTACAGTACTGATGCACTGCAGCACAGAAACAAGTGGAGCCTGCCAATCAGCCTCAATTTATCTACTTTACATTTCATTTCTCCTTTGATGATAGATGATACAACGCCAAACAAAGAACCTCAAAATAGCCCAATAGGTCCTTTACTGTGCAAAATTATTGCCTGGAGAACAAATGTGACTTATCATCATCTCGACAAAAATCACATCATCTTAAGTTAATCACAGAGATCCTTTTACTCAGGTAAATAATTCTCTATTTACATAAAAAATAAGGGACTACTGGTGAAATGTGACTTCTTTAAACTGCGTTAAGTAACTGGTGATTCTGCATCATCTGATGGAGTGTTGATGTATCTGAGCACTACCTCACATATCTGTAGCAAACGTTTCTCCCTGCAGGAGAAGGCAGAACAACAAAAGTGTAGGCAGCTGAAGAGGGCTCTGTTGGTGTGTCTACTCAATAGTGTAACTGCTCATGTCCGTTTGTGTGCATGCCTGACTTGTCTATCCGAGTGTGTGTGGGCTTGAGGGTGATAGTGTGTGGGAGGTATCAAATATACTGTGTGAATATCCACCAGTTTCTACACAAGAGCTGAACATCCTCATCTCCTTTCAGCCCATAAAACTGTACTGAATAATACACTGAACCACGTGTACTGCAATAATCTGCCTAACATGCCTTCCATAAGAACCTGTTATCTCTTTCAAGGGCAACCTAGCACAAGATGAGCTATATCGCGATATACTGCAACGCTGTAAGCAAGGCGATACATTACGATAAAAAGGAAGCATAAAATCTGAGTAAAAAAAGGTTGCAACCAAAACAATTGGATCTGTATTTATCACAGCCCCTGTAACATCTAACATCATAGCCCACAGTTTACACACACTGCTATCTAGCGGTTGGTGGCTTGAATACAAAAACTGAGATAATGTCTTTGAGAATTGATACAATAGATTTCTCCTACATGCCAGAGCCCACTAAAACCTACTTACTGGTCCTTTAACGCTACTCACTGGTTGCAGAATAAAGTTAATGCATAAGGTAAATGTTTTGCCCAGTTTTGCTAATGTTATGCTTTTATTATTGGCATTTCAACACAGTGGAAAAGATTATTTCTAAGAGTTACTACAATATGTCTTCTCACAGTTTAAACTACACAAGAAACCTTGAAAAAATATCAAAATGCTTGTAACTGTGTTACCAGGTAAACAGCGATGGCAGCTCCCAGTAACCATCCGCAATAGACGTCGACAGGGTGGTTTCTGAACTGGATGATCCTGGTCAGCCCGGCCAGGATGGCCAGCATGACGAAGGAGAATACTAGGAGAGGCTTCAGCAGCTTGGCCGAGTCTGTCAGCACTGTGTTGAAGTACATCTGAAACACACACAATTTCACATGAGCTATTCATTATCTGTTAATCCTGTGAGGGTCAACTCAGATTATTAGATTAACCATTCTAAATGATTTAGAACTGAAATTGACAACAACTTTAGCTTCCATGGCGAAATTTTAGGTGGCAGCTACAAGTCTCTTTCTACATGATAGAGTACATTAACCACTTACTGAGATGTAGACAGCAGCAAAGGCAGCCAGAGTTGCATGCTGGGAGGGAAAAGACTTCCTATAAAGAAAGAAAGACAGAGTGTTCTTTCTGCTAATTATCATGTTCAGACAGATAAGGACAATGCTGAATATTCATCTGCAACAGAGAAGTGACTTTCAAAGAAACTTGGACGTGTGTGTGTGTGTGTGTGTGTGTGTGTGTGTATCTGGTGGTAAGTCTGCCCTAGCAGGTGTTTAATAAATGCAGTGTATGAAGGACACAGGTAGGCCAACACCTCCAGGCATCTGATGTATGTTGTGCTACTTTATAGCTCAAGTATTACAAAAGTATATCCTGGTAATAAACTAAGGTTTTTTATGTTATGCTGATGCTGCAGTGTATGATGCACAATTATTCATTGTTTTTTATTATTATTTATAATGAAGCATTAATTAATAATTAATTACACATTATTGAATGAACTACTACTTACAAACAGTAATATTT